GGTGTATGTGATTTGATGTTTGTTGCTTTCGAATTGTGCAGTGACCATACATCAGTGTTGGCAAAATTAGGTTTCTGCTGAGAAACAAAGTGCATCAACTTATATTTTAGGAAGTACTTCAGAAGTAAATTCGGTTTCCCTCTGTATAAAGTATTGCTTCCTTAGATATTAATATGGTGTAAATCAACATGGCTAAAATACTTTCTTGATTTATACCGGCGTGGATCTGGCCTGGTAAGTTTAATGAATTGAAAGTACGTGGAAGATGATGTTTTGTACCTTTGCACTTCTGTGTCAGACAGCACCTTTGTTACTTAGCTTCTGACATCTTAGTGAAAATTTGTCGTGACAGAATTTGAATGTACAGGTTTATCTGAGCCTGCAGAGCTGTTCAAATTCTATGTCGAGTGACGAAACCCTGTCCCAGCCAAGGGCTCGAAGGGTACGGCAGCCAAGGCAGCTCGCTCCTGGGTGTAAATGTTGCTTATTTGAATGACAACAGAATTCTGTTGCTATGAATGTGGTTGAATGATTGAATCTCCCCTTTCATAAGTGTAACCTGGTCAATGTGCAGTGACCATCGTGACTGCCAGCCATGGGACGCTGACGACGTGAGACCCAGTTAATACTACCCACACTGCAGTCCCTGGGGGGTGACCTGGGTCTGCTCCAGAGCTCAGCTAGCCAGGTGGCATTAGACAGAGGCCGCCCTAAAGCTGGAGTGACTGACACGAGAACGCTCCCATGCACACGTGTCTAAACTTGAGGTACACGGTGTAAGTAAACCTCCCACTAGGTTCTGTCTCTAGTCATGTAGTTTGTGCTGTCAAAAGAAGTCTTGGATTTTGAGTGCAAGGACATTCTTCCTGCCCTCCTTGTGGCAAGAGGCTGATCGATACCCGGAATGAAGCTTATAGGGTTTGCAGCTTTCCTGTTTCAGCAAGAGGCAGACAGAGTTGTATTCAACTGATATTTTTTTTTTGGTTAAGTGTTCAGTCATGTTAAGTTTTGTGGCATTTAGATTAGCTGTGTATTATAAAATGCTGTAGGCAGCCCATATTTCTGTTAGAAATCCAGTTCTGTGAGCATATTGCAAAATAAATATTTCATCATTTTCCTGGTGCAGATGAACCAGAAATGAAGCTGAGTAGTCTGTTTACCTTGTTCAAGCAGTGTATATTGCACAAAACAAGTTTTGTAGGTGGAGTCTGGTAAAGCTGACCTTTAAGCTCTTATCGCTGAGGAAGTGGTTGTGCCCCTGGGTAAAGATGTTTTTCTGCAGAGCTCCAAGCTCTCCACTAGTGTGGGTTTCCTTGAGTTGTGTTTTCTTCTTCCCACTTAGACTGTGATCCCTTTGGAGAAGGGCTCTGCCCGCTACACAGTGCCAAGTATGGTAATGCATTTGTCCTTGTGTGGAAACTTTAAGAGCTACTGCAATAAAACTACTGATGCATTCATTAAAAAGGTATACTCTCGTCATAAACCACTTTCCAGAATTGAAAATAGTAGGTTGATTTGGCACAGTACAAGTTGGAATTAGCTCCATTCTCAGACTGGTCATCTCCATCGCAAAGTAGGACATGTGCCCACAAACGCATATCCACTGATGGGTTTCATGTTGGTGTTACACCTTCAGAAAGTATGAGTCTGTGGGTAATAGTAGGAGACGCTGGAATATCTACATAAAGATTTGCACTGCCACACCGAGCCTGCTGGCGACTGACCTCTGCTCACTTAGCTTTGTGTATTTACCGTTCTCATTCACTGTTGTAGCTTTTGAAGGAAGAGTGGCAATTGAGAGGGGGAAAGGCGGCCCTGCTGGAAGGGCTGTAGTTCCTCTGATGCCAGGGCTGATGGCTGATCTACAGAGGGTGAGAAGGCAGCGGGCCCCGGGTGCAGCTTGTCCTGGCATTGCCGCTGGTTCTTGGGGTCGCCTGGCATAGCCCCATCAGAGCTGAGGTGAAGAGCAGGGCCGGCGGCTGACTGATCCGTGAGGGTAGCTGCTGCGTTCCCCTTGCTTGAGTGCAGAGCGTGGAGGTGCCTCCTGCCAAGCTTCTGGGTTGGAGAGAACGCTCTGGAAATTTTAGAAGACTGTTGTCCTCTGTCAAATCTGAATTCACCTGGAACTTTATGGCGCAGACTCTGGCATTGTCCTTTCACACCTTTCTACTTATTCACGCTCCTTGGCCAAAGGGATAAAGAGAAATGTTTTTGCAAGTCTTCAGAGGAGAAATGGGGTGTTTCCTTTTCGTGTACCTTAGATTTTAGGTAAGGTTTTGTCAGTCAAGCCTGAGCTGAGCTAACTCAAACCTGAAAGCAAATTAGAGAGTATGCAGAAGTTCTTTAGGGCTTCCTGGATCTCTTTCCCATGCCTGCTGACTTCTTCCCGCAGTGTCCAATGTAAATGAAGTTCCCTGCTATTACAGTTGACAAAGAATATATTGTTTTCCAGTTTGCCAGCTTTTGGAAAACAAATTTTGGTTCACAATAAGCAATTTTATTCTAGCTGTGTCCAAAGCACATCTTGATCAAAATCGTGAACATGTAAATAGCTTCAGTAGATTGATTTGATATGTCGTAAGACTGTGCCCTTATTTCCTGTTATTTATTTGTATCTTCAGTTAGGTTTAAGATTACGTACATTTTTTTGGCCTTTGTTTGTTCTTTGTTTTAATCACTAGTTATGTGCGGATGGCATCAATTTATATTGATCTTAAAGCTTGTTGCCTTTCATATGACCTTGGAAGTGTTTGAAACATGATGTCTCTGACCTTGAATTTATTTTCTGAACTTTGTGCAGCGTCAGTAGCTTTTATACCATCAGGAAACTGAGAGATACAGCCTCTTTAATTTCCCAATTTCCTTAAATTATTCTGATGACATTTACTTATGATTAAAATAAAAAATAGGCAGTAGAGACAGATTCAGTATCCCCACATTGCCTACTGAGTGCCAGTCTGGTTGAAGGAAAGAGGATGTGATAGAATTTTAGAGAACTGAAGCTTATGGATCTTTGGCAGTCTCCAAGTTATTGAACCAAACTGGGCCTAATTTTACCACTCCGTGATAAGGTAATATTCCCAGTCCCGTGCAGCTTTCTGGCATCGAGCTAATACATCCTTTCAGTGAACTGTACAAATAAATGGAACTAAGTGGAGGAGGGAGATAGATTTCACTCTTGTATCTATTATATATTGACAAAATGCGCTGAGAGCAGCAGATGCCAGGTGCTATAGAAATGCAAAGTACTTTAGTCTGCCCTTGTCAACGAGTTATGTGTCTAGCTCAGTTTTAGTCCCAGGTGGATTATGGGGCTGTCGTAACTCTCATTGATGTGATAAACATGATACAAAAAGGTTCTCTGGGTAGTAAATATGATTGACCATTTTAGATTCATAAAGGTGTAAACCCTGTCTTGCAGAGAGTAGTCCCACTAAGCGTTTTTGCACCAAAGTAGGTCAATCTAATTATAATTGGCTTTAATGAGCACTAGTCTGCAGTTCTTTACCTGTAGCTGGTTGGCACTCAGAAGTGCAAATGCCATTGCAGCCCTTGAAAAAAGCAATGAGAAATCAAAGAAGTAATTTTTAATCTAATTCATTTCAACTTGAAAGCCTTGGTTATGTAAATAAGCAGGGGTAAACAAACCAGCATCGGTAAGAAAAGCTGGAGCCAATGCAGGCAGCAGTGATCAGCAGCTCTGATGCTGGCTATAGGAAAAAGGTGAAATTCTGCTTTGGGCCTCTCAACAGTTGCCTTGCAAACTGTCTGCAGTTTGGTTTTGGTGTGGGGGAGTTATTCCCTTAAAGCCAGTAGGAGTCATACCACTTTGTTTGGAGTGAATTTTAATTTGTGCCTCAAAAGACATTTGCGTAAAGCAGCAGTGAAGAGAGGGGAAAACACTAAGGAGAATTTGTCATTTAGGCTGTTCCCAAAACATATTTATATACCTCTTTCCCCAGAGGAAAGAAAATATCATATATCCAGAAATTGTACATCATGGCAGTTGATCTTCATCTTTGGGATGGAGTGTTCACAGTTGCTGCTTTGGGGAAGGAAAATGGATTTGAGGGAGGTTTTAAGTGCTTAGCTGGTGGGTACAGGACTGGGCTTTTGTTCTCAGAATGTGTAGCTCTACACAGGTCTTTAGGAATACTTATTGGAAGACATTTGCTATGTGTTGAGCCTGCCTGAGGAGGGGAAACCTTCCAGAACTAGGTGAGAGAAAACAGAGCAGCCTGAGAAGGCTGGGTCTACCCAACAGTTTCTTCCCTGTGTCCCCGTATCAGGTCTAACAGGGGGGTGTAGTGTTACTGGTGATGGCAGCTCTTGGCTCTGGGCCACAGTCCAGATTGCTTTGCAGTGGAACGGTTTCCAGTTTGGGGTACGCAGACCAGAGACCCAAGTGGGAACACGCCCCTTGCTTATGGCAGTCTGTGTGGAAAGGCCCTGTACAAAAACCATCGGCTCTTCTCCCTGCTCAGAGGGAGTTTCAGGCTAGTGAGCAGTGGTTACTTGAAAGAATGTGGACGGGGAAAAAAGAACTGCTATTCCAGGAAGCTGCAAAGATTTGGGTGTAGGATTTTTTTTTTTTTTTTTCATTGCAAATAGCTATTCAAGAATGGTTTGTGCATGAAAGCCTTTGAGCTGTGTCCTGTTCTTTCTGGAGCCAGGACAACTGTAATTTCTGATCTTTTGCCATTCAGTTTTCATGCAGTCTTGTCCAGGCAGACAACTCATTTGGTGACTCAGTTCCTCATTATGTATTGTGTCCATTAGTTTCTGGCCTTTCAAGGTGAGGGGTGGTCTGTCTCTCTTCGTCTGCACAGTTGAGCCCTGGTCTCCTGTCTCTTATTCGAGTGTAACGAAGGATAAAAGAGGCGGTCAGCTTTGGCACTGTCCTTCTGCTTGTTTGTGGCCTCTGAACCCCTCATGCTTGGGGCACCCAGCAGGGCCAGGCACTCTTGAAACGAGTTAAATCCCTAAATGCACAGTGTTTGATGAAGGGTATGTTGGACTTTAGCGTGGGCTGTGAAAGGATGTCTGCGTCTGTTCCCAGTTGCAGTCAGCAGCTGCTGGAATCCAGCTGTTGTTAGCCCGTTGTGTTTGCAGTGCCCAGGAGATGGGTATCTGGGGGCCAGGTTCCTGCAGGGAGGACAAAGGTGCACCTTTAGATTTTACCTTTATCTGCTCACTAGGACCACAAACTGAGAACAAATTCAATGCAAAGCATCCTGTATGATCTGTTTTGATGGTGAAGATAGTAAATGTGTATCTAAAATCATTTGACTTGTACTTTTGTCTTTTCTCTTGCCAGCCCAGAACTGCAGTCACACTTTGCAGGGCCCAAACGGGACAATACAGAGTCCAGGCTTTCCATATGGATACCCAAATTATGCAAACTGCACGTGGACAATCACTGCCGAGGAGCAGAACAGGATACAGCTTGTTTTCCAGTCCTTTGCATTAGAGGAAGATTTTGATGTATTATCTATCTACGATGGACTGCCTCAGCAGGGGAATCTGAGAACAAGGTACATTGTTCATAACAGTGATGTTTATAAAAGTGTTCCCATTTCTGCCACTGGGATTAAATCTAGGTTGGAGGTTTATGCTGCAATAAACTGGGAGTGCTTCTTCATGAGCAGTTCTTTTATAGTTGTTTTGATTTCTTATCTCTGATAAAGTTTGAAATGTTTCTCTGAATGCCTGACAGTAATGATTTATCAAGAGTCGTTCTAGACATCCAGAGAAGTTAATTAGAAAATGGAGCAAGAGGAAAGCAGAGCTAATGTGCAGAGCAGCTTCCCTCAATCCAAAAGAGATTCTCTGAGTGGGAGGATGGATAATGGATTTCAGTTTATAGCTCTGCCAAATGCTTGGTGGGTGCATTTGGCTAATTCCCTGACTTCCAGTCTGTTCAGTAGCCGGACAGGGGTGATGCTCTCTCACAACTGACTAAACGGATCTTTAGGGGTGAGGAGTTAACGAGTAATACAGTTTTGTATGAAGACTCTCCATGGATTCCAATCTCTGAGATTTTCAGGTACAATCTTGGTATTAATAAAAAAGTTAAATGAGAGGCTGATTTTTTAAAAAGAATGTATTGCTGTGATAGCAAATATTATATGATATGTCAGACTTCTGCATTTGAAGAAGTTATGATCTCGGACCTCTAGATCTGAGGCATAGATGAAATCAGCTTGGTAACTTGTGACATGACTGCTGTTTTCTGATGTGGTGTCTGACTGCAGCTGAAGTCTGACAGTAATATATTCAAAAAGTAATAGAAACAGTGGTAGCATCCAAGGTTAGAATCCCTAGTAAGAATGCTGTAGTCACGGACAGTCCTGAAATTAATTTTAGTTCAAACCACTTTAGGACAGATCCTTTGACCTCAGTGTCTTGTCTAACCCAACTTGAAAATCTGAGTTAGAGAATCACTGGTGAAAATCAGCTCTTTATGTAGATCATTTCAGTTATGCAAATAAATCGTATCTTCGGCTTGCACACTGTGCTTGACAATCATCTTAATTATGGGACCTCATCATTTAATCAGAAGGTAGCATAGTGCTTTGCTTTGAGTATTACATGAATGATGCCTACATCTGGTATAAAATTCTGCTCAGAAAACTCTGTTTGGTGAGCAGTCCGTGCTGCGCTTGCCCTGAGGTGCCCTCTGGCAAACTGCTCTGCTTGTCGGCAATGCCAGATGTTTCATTTTGCCCTCTGGATGTCACTGGGAGGGTCTGCTGGAGAAGCAAGATCCAGCAATGAGACGGATTCAGCAGTAGGGTGTTCTGGAGTAAATTAGTAAGATGATGTAGACAGGTTGCATCCAGGTTTTGCTCTGAGCTAGTGGTAAGCACGGTATGATTATAGATAGAAGTTAACAGCAAGGGCATCTTCCTGCAGTTGGCCGGTACACCAGATCTCTGCCATACAGCTTCGATACTGTCCTGAGGATTTGTAGCCCTTCATTTTGGGAAAAGGTGAGGAGGCAAATAAGCCCCTCCCTCTGCATCACTAATGGGCTTCATGCGTGACTTGGGTACGTAAGTGTAAGTCGCGTGATGAAACCAGGAGCGCAAAGCAATGTGGGAACATTTCATCTCTAATGAGGAGATGAGGTGTTCAGGAAAAGGTGTCTATTTAGTGCAATGGAGGAAAGTGAAATAAATGGAGGAAAAAAGAAAGATACTGAGGAGGCTTCCTAGAGGTCTGAAAGCACTGACAGAGGAGTTCCAAAAGTGCGAGAGATATGGATCCTTGCATGATGGACTCCTGCATTCTTCCCCTGGACTTTTCTAGCTTAGTGACTTCAAAACCTGCAGCTTGCTTCTCTGTGCTGTTTGGTGTCTCACTTCTTTGTTCATCTAATATTTTTTTTTTTTATACATCAATCTCACCTCATTAAACTCTGTAAGTGTTGCCCAATGTTGTGTGTTTTTCTTTTTTCTTCTTTCTCCTTTTTTCCTGTGGCTATCAATTTTGTTTTTTTCTCAGGCTGCTTTCCAAATGTACTCAATTCATCATCAAAGTGCAGCACTCGAAGATGGATGACCATGCGTCATTCATCAAAGCTCATGCTACCAGGAGGCGGGCCAAAATAAGCTGTAAGCAAGTGTAAAAGAAGCGGGGGGGGAAAAGTGTGCTTCTGTAGAGAAGTCAGCTGTTTGGTTCAGTGTATTCAAGGCTGATCAACGAAACGATTAGGAGAGTGGAACTGTATCTCTGCTTCTCCTGCTCTTGAGCTTACATTGTTGAGCATCACTGATACAGTTCAGTAGGTCGTGGCTGCTTGACTGGGCTAAGAGAATGACCTTGGTGCTGATGGCGCTTCCTGTGCTGAGGGATGGAGGATGGTTAGTCATCTCAGTCTTTCTCAAAACTCTGCTGGTCCGTTTAAGCCATATATTCCTAAGAGCTTCCTTGGCCTCGTGTAACAGTGTCGTGTCTATGTGCTTTTCTGAGAAGGGGTTAATAATTGCGTTCATCGTGTGCTGGCAAACACCCTGTTGTCTTGCAACGTAATGTGGTGTGAAAGTTCCCTAATAGAATAAGAGCAGACTTAATCCAATGAGACATTTGGTAATAAACTGCTTTACTGTTTATTAGGGAATTTGCATTGTGCGTTTGTGATGAGTATGTGTGTATTAAATGTGTTTCAGTGTCTTAATTTAGACATCCAGGGCTGTTGTCATCTTTCTGTGCCATGACTTTGCTTTGTTGGCTAAAGTCAGAGCTTGTTTCCAAGCCTTTGCTCCTTCAGCTTCTCTCAAATAATCTGGTTTTTTTCCCAACACCATCCACTGGCTTTCAACAGGGACCACTCTAACAGTCTTCTTTGAAACCTGGCAACAGTGATGGCTGCAGATTTTTCTCTCCCTTGACTTGGGTAGGAGAGCTGTGTGTTTTCACGTGTTTGGGCAAGATTTGTAACTTCCCTTTGCTGCTGATGTGTAGCTTTCCCTTCTCATAAGCAGTGTTTGTGCTTGTTACACCAGACCAAACTCTCCCAAATGCTCGTCCTTCAAGTTCCTAACGATTCTGAACTGCCAGTGGGATCAGAGGGATGCATGTGGAGACCTGCTCCGAGAACTGCAGCTACTCAAGCGTGGTCTTGTTGCAGATTCCCATTGTGCTTTGCTGATTGTGGCATTGTTACGAGGAGGCTCCAATCAGGTTGGTTTCCTGATTGGTTTCCCGCCGTGCTGGGCTTAGAATCTCAGCAGAGACCTGACTAAAATTTGAATATTTGGAGTTATTTATGGATCTAAGATTGCTATGGGAGTTGGGAGACTCTCTGCACCTTTTTGTGTCAGACTGTTGTTATGTGACATAACCAGACAGTAGTTAACAAGAAAAAAACGTAGCAAAGAAGGAAAGCCACATGACATCTTCAAGCTTTTTCATCTGCTGCTGGTAATTTGCAGGATGCTTTTAATGTGAGAATCTTAAATTAGTTGCTAATTTCCTTATTTGAAGTTTCAGGCTTGCACTCAGATCCAGGGAAAATACATTTACAATGTATCTGACAAGTCATTCATTTCAGATACCTAATTCTGTTTTACCAAAGGGAGCCACTGAATTTACACTCAAGATAGGACCGGTCAATTTAGGAAATCAGATTTATTTTTCCTTCCAAAGATGTTTAAAATTGCTTTGGAAAGCCCAAGGGACACAGTGTGCAATCTTTTTTTACCGGGAGAGACTGATCACTTGCGTGCACGCAGAGCAATGCTGGGGTGACTTTTATGATCTTAAAACCCATGGGTTTTCCTTCCCGCGTGACATGGGTAGGTGATTGTGTTGTCTTCTGGTCTGCCTTTCCTGTTGAAAGGAAATGTTTCCATGGTACTGAATTTATTTGGCTGAGATAATCTTTGTTTGAGCCAGTGTATCAAGAAAAATAAGTCTTTACCCTAGCCAGAGCCTCAGTAGTGCAGTTTGCATTTCCACAGAAGTTACTAGGAGGTGTGTATTTCCACAGCTGCAAGAAACTGCCCCATTCTGATGTCTACAGTGAGTAGGGTTAGAGAAAATGTTTGCAGATCGTTACTGCAATAGCTTCGTACTCAAAGAAGAAATCCGCGCTGCCTTTAGCTCGCTGGCGCTGTGAAGAATTTGTTTTGTAGCCCACGTCTCCGCATTCTGCACAGTGTCTTCTGTTCAGGTTGCTGTTGCTTGTTAGAGATACTCATCCTTCTTCCCTGACAAATGGCTGAAGAGTTAAGAGAAGGATTGCCGTCAATACGCTGTGTGTGCAGTTAAAAACTGTATGATCTCTTTGGCCATATTTAATTGACTGAAAGATTAAGTATTTTGTTTGATCTTAAAATTATGTGACAGTAGTGATAAGAGCTGAATTATCTACCAGGGTGACCTATTTACAGATACAACAGGAATACCTGTATCTTGCCTGTTTCTCGTTGATAACCTTTTAATTACTCTTTGAAAAATTGGAGTGGGTGACTGGGACTTAATTACTAATCAGGAGAACAAAGCTTTTGATCTTAAAAACAATGGAAGGGAGGAGGAGAGGAGGAGACAGAGGGAGCAGTGAAGGAGAGAATTCCCCCCACGTGCCATATGCTCTTGCAGAGATGCAAACGTGGGTTTAAATGACATTCTGGGGTTCTGGCTCTGCAGGTACTGGAGTCGCTGGGGTTCAGTACTGTTAAAGAAGTTCCTGGAGAAATGGCGTTTGCGATCTGGTAGTACACGGAACTTAAGTTAGGATTTTGTGTTGTCACCTGTGGTCCTGTGACTTTCCTTTGTAGCTACCTCATGTCTCCAGGGTGCTTACAATTCTTTTTTACTAAGGATAAAGATAAATAAAATGGAGGGCCACCTAAATCCTTTTGTCATCTTTAGTGAACTTCAGAATTCTACTTCCCTTTTCCCTGTAGCAGAATCTTTTGTCACTTCACATTAACTCCGTGGGGGAAGAAAAACCACACAACAAAAACTCACTTCAGTTGAAGTTCTCTGCTTTGTAGAATAAATCATGCTTTTTTTCCTGAAAAAAATA